AAATTGGTCGCCATTATTTTTCGTTTTTCCTTCTACTGCACGCCTTCAAAAGTGTTGTTGTTGGGTAGACGTATCTTTTTCACTTTCATTCTATTAGAGACTTCCACGTTCTGGTCGTAAAATAAGAGGCTGCGCCTGAAAATCGGAGTGGTCATAGAAGTTTGTTCCATGATGTAAAGAAAAACAGCAGAGAAGAGCTGTATTCATATGTAATGACAATTGTTGACAGACAAAAATAGCGACGCCATGGAGGTATCTGCTCGTCAAGAGCATGTTGTGAAACTAACGTCAACGTATTGTTTTTTTCTCTGCAAGTCTGATCATACTGAATAGCTACGGCTGAGCAAGAGTCAACTCACCAAAATCCATAGTTGAAGGAAGCGCAACAGTCAAGTTTGCGAGTTAGAAGTACACTGTAGTCTAGAGAGCTAAGAAGACCTGCGACAGCCACATACTGTGCATGCATGGTTCCCATGGCTCATATGTGACGCCATATCACACCCCACACATCATATGATCAAACTGCCGCCTACGATCGATCCACCAATAGGCTTGCGGCGCTCGAAACAAGTCACATTCGAGCAGATGTACGCGTTTGATCGGATGCAGGACAATGCAGGAGACAAAAGCAGCGGTGATACAATCACCTGGTGTTGTCGACAAAAAATGTAAACGACATCTGAGGGAAACAATAGAAGTGCCTCAAACCGGAAGAACGAGACTCCGGACTTGACCTAAATTCACCTAAATTCCCCCACCCGCAATCCAACTAAACGTGGACTTTCAGGAAGAGACAGGTGCATTAACTGATGCGTAAACAGCACTTGTTACCTGAAAGAAGAAATATCCTAACGGGCGTTCACGCTTAACCTACCTCTTAGGCACTGGTGCACGACTAGACTAGTGTGAACGGTTGTACAAACCACATCATAGAATATATCGCTAGTCTTTTACCTACTTGGAAAACTAATCAACGTCTCATTTAACATATTGTTCATAAGAGTCAGAAACAGAGATATCAAAACTCACAGCGGCGCTTTATTGCTCAGCAATGGGAAGGAAGAGGGGGGAAGAGGCCTAGCATTAGAGTGCCTTAATCCATCGGGGAACATGGCTAAAAATTCGCAGCACGGACGCAAATGACGGTCCCAACCAACTGTGTCAGCAGGAAGGTGGGTCACAACGACAGTAATTCAACTTTCCCTAGCTTTATTCACGCCAAATCAGGCATTATTCGCTAGTTCTAGGGAAGCGTCAAGAACAGCGGTCCTCCGGTCAGCACTGCGATATCAGGTGAACCTGACAACTCCGGATGACGTTGAAGAGCAGGTTAAGGAGACATGATAGATATCAAGACAATCTAAGACAGGAACTCCAGATGCGGATAGGACCCCAGTTTGGACAGTAGGGAACTAGGCATAGGCAGATCTACCTCAGACAACAGCAGTCCTTGTTCACTGGTAATCTAAAAAAACTGGGGTACACAGTTAGATTAAACGGGTAACCCTGAACCAAATGGCCGCGACCATACCATGTTGGAGACGACGGTTCTCGTCTAATCACCAAAGTTAAGTAAACTTGGGCCCAGTTAGTACTTGCATGGGTGACCGGCCGGGAATAACGGGTGTTGCGGCCGTTCCTCCTGGGGGCGAGATGGCCCAAGTAGTCAGACCGAAAGGTCCGTGGTTCGAGCCCAACCTCTGCCTCTCGACTTCCCCTGTCTAGGCTTGGGCAGCCTGGCAGTATCCCAGCCCTCGTGCTTCCTTTGGGTGGCATCGCAGTTAGGCACCGAAAGGGTGCTGCAGCTGAACGAACCAAACAGAAACAGGAAAAATCATTCTGTCTGTCGGACCCATAGGGTAGTTTCCAAACATCGACCGAGCCAAAAAATGCGTGTTGTTTTCATACCCCTTTTGTCGGACGAATCCCGGAAAAACAGATTCAATCTGATCTTGTTTTCGCGTTCCATTGTCTGACATAATTCCTCCGGGCAAACAAAGCTGAACTAAGGTAGCCACGTAAACTTAGTCACGACAACACAGGAGGTTTGCCAGACTGGTTACTCATTCCGTTATTCGTTAGGAAAACATCCGCGAACTTTCTGGCTCTGATTTTGGATAGGCAACCGCAAAAGTGGTGTCAAACCACAAACCAGGAAGACGGATGGACATAGACTTAACGGGAGCGCTGTCCAAACAGGACTTTATACCTCCTTCAAACGGTTTACGAAGGGCGTTCATCCTGACTTATCCTTCGCAGTTGTTCAGAAGAAAATCTCTCCGATGGTTGATTAGTTCCACAGAAATACATTCTGGAAGGAACTAGCCGCTTCTGAGAAGCTTTAGCTCGGAGTAACCGAGAACAAGAGAAGCGATAAATCACATGCGAATCAGAGTCGCTGAGAGAGAATGAAGCCTCATTTATATAGCTGGACGAAAGCAAAGTTCTACCAGACCGAAAGGGCTAGTGGGAGAAACACTCATCTGAGGATTAAATGAGGGACGACACTATTATCGACCGCGGTGAAAACCTATCTGTGACGTGTCGGCCACAACAAGGGCATGGAATAGGATAAAGCGAGTAGTCTGTTGTCACATTACGACGATCAGGCCAACAGACAAAGCTCTAAGTCAACCTGTGTGCGCTGATGCTTTGGTAACACAGTTACCCCTGAACAAACGAAGATAAGGCCATGTTTCACACGCTTCGTACAAACCCTCCATAATACGATCGCTTCGCGTCAACCGGTCTGACAAGCTTCAGCATGGAAGAACGGGAAATGAACCGATTACCCGAAAATATTCTGGTGTGTGGTGTGCACGACAAAAATAATTCTACCTCTAGAATAGGAGGTGAAAGTCACCTAGTTGAAAAAAGGAGGATTATCAAAAAAGCCTATTCCAAAGATAAGAAGAGAGTAGAAAATAGATGAAACTTCAGAGGGCCAGTAGAAAATGGGAGCAGGAAGGTGTTAAAAAAGTTGCACCAGTAGATTCAACGAGTTCGCCCGGCAGTCTCAGTTGTCCTTTTACAAGAAAACTCAGTGGGACTGAGCAAGGATGTCCGTTTTCCTGAATGTGATGCTGCTCTCGGCCTCACACGAGAAAGGCGTTTGGTGAGGCGAAGCAGACGAGGTGGACTCAGAAGTACCATCAGCGACTAGCTTCATACTTTGTGTGAAGGCTGTCTGCTGAAATGTGACGAAACCAGCTTGTCTCAAGTAAACATTAAAATACACATTTATCTCAGTTACCTTTTGCTATGTGTTGACGTGCACTATATATCATGATTCTAGAGTGATCGTATTTGACTGTTATCCCTCATGGAGGGGCATCTCTGACTAAAAGACAATGTTGGAATCCCTCGTTAGAGTTAAGGATTACGTTTTTCCAGAGGAATCAATTTGTCATTCAAGTTGCGAATAATTTTGAAACATGTGATTGGGACCTCAAATGCATTGAAAAATCGTTTCGCTCTCATTAGGTCCATCAGTCGCCAGTGGCTGTCTATATCGAATCGTAAATCTCTGGACACCTTGGAGGAACATTATCAATTCATGTATCGGTTGATCATACGTGTGGAAGCGCTGTGCTCCATACTTGGGACCACATGCGTATCACAAATGTTGTTCAGTGCCCCAAAGGAGATAGTGACAAGCGAAAGAGGTGGACACTGAAGCCAACACTCAGTCACACAGTTTGGAACGAAAGTAACAACAGCGCGACTAATATCAGTCTATAATCATACATTAGCGCACCCCCAGCCAAACGCTAGACGAGTTATCCTACCGATCAGGTCGAGGATCAACCAGGCACTGTTGGGAAGTATTGATGAACCTCAAAACTTGTGGAATGGACTTCAATTGGATTGCCGATGCTGAGTGAATTGGACCTAAATAGAGGGGGGAGATGCCGAGAAAGCATATGATCCCCGTTTATGACTATCTGTCCATGAGTGAAGCTCCAAGAACCGTGGGATAAACACGTTTAGTGTGCCAAATACAGAAAAATAGTTATGCTTGGGTCGATTGGAGGAATGGCGATACTTGGATGTTCTTTAAGAAGGTTTGGGTTAGGCAATAGAGTGCTGGATCGACCGATGAAAAATGATGTCATATGCTGTTTACAATCATGAAGACAAAAAGAGTAAGATGAAGCCTTTAGTGTTGAGATGGTCAATCGCCATGGGAACAACTTCACTATCAGGCCAAAACATGTTACATTGGGTGTTTATAGAGCCACTTAGTGAGAACTTTCGCATCCTTGGATGGCAGTGGTCCATGGTTCAAGTTCGCCCCAAGTTTTCCGACTGTTCCTGCAGGGCCGTAACTCAATTCCATTATTCCTTCGAATTGAGCCGCAGTTATGCACCGCAAGCTAACTACGGCTGAACGATTCGAATTGGCTTGATCCCAGTAAAAAAAGTCCTAATTGGGGCCCCCGAGTTGGCTATTTTTTCGACCAGGACGTATTCTCTCCACACAACTTTGTGAAGTAAAGCCTCATGTTGTCCTAGACTTCCGTGAACATCACTTTATACTACCCACAAGACACTCATGCTGTACAACACGTTTGCTAGAGCATGGCACTTTTGCACAGCCAATGGGGCACTCCAAACTGAGAGAAAACTAAGACAAATTATCAACAAGTAGAAATATACTGAAATACAGCCACTTGCAAATTGAATTGGCGGTGCCGAGAGGATCAGCTAACCTATTGCTACCAATGATGATGATGGTGATGTATTCCTTGCTGAAAAAATAGCGACACAAACCATCTAAGGCACTGACCAGATTTATTTTCAGCCAAAAAAGAATAACGTGGCGCGATATTTGTCAACATTGGATTTACTCGGCCAGCAAAAATACAACTAAACGAGGAGCAACAGGGTACAACAGACAGATAGACAAACAAGCACAACAGGATTCAAAATACAAAGGACTGATATATGTTCACCAAAACCAACCCCAGCAACACAAAACTGTGAGGAAAGACGCTCACCTGCAGCAGAAACAACACTCCTTTATAGATATTGTCGTAAATAATATCTCGCAGTTGCTCCATTTCATGGGCCGAGAAGCGCTTCCCATTGATAATCTTCATCTGCTTCAAAAATGTACTTTTCCCGCTCTCCCCTGTTCCAAGGAGGAGAATCATCTGGCGTCTACGTCTACGTTCCGCTTCTTTCCGCAATTCTCGCTCGATTTCCTTATTACGCCGCTGCTGCCATCGAAGGAGCTCAGCACTTGTATTGGGCACATTATCTTTTCCCGCACAACAGCATAGCATTGAACAAATGCTTGACATACCGCTAGCTCAGTAAGGTTGTCTTGGAGGCGGCAGACAAGCCGGCTCCGATCAGATGGAAGGCCACCACACCTGGAATAGAATCGTGGTTAGTGATCAGTATCCTGCGAAAAAAACTTAGGAACGCAAGTAAATGAGAAACAAGTAAAACCGTCTGATGTTTGTCATCCATTCCATACACAGCACCTGCAACTAGTGCTGGAACTCGTACAACCCATGATGTGGACACCGCTAGGCACGTTGACGCATCCGGGAGATGGAAACAGGCTTTATTTCGCTGCTTGTTGGATTTCGTTGCCAATGCGGATCGTCGACGTCGAGTCAGCTAGTGATCGTATCTGAGCTAGCATTGGATTTGGGAGTACCCTGTTCAGGCGAGATGGCTCAGGTGGTTGAAGCGCGAATTTCGTGACCGGAAGGTCCGTGGTTCGAACCCGACCTCTGCAACTCGACTTCCCCTGTCTAGGTTTGGGCAACCTGGCAGTACCCCAGCCCTTATGCAACCTTCGGGTAGCATGGCAGCTAGGCACCGGAAGAGTGTTACAGCTGAACGATTTATTATCCTGTTCAGGCCTCGCGTTCGGGTTTGGGGGGTATTGTTACACGAATGGCGCTTATGTGAGGATGAAGTGATGAGGATAAAAAAATCGCGTGGTCCTAGATTAGGTACAAAAGTATCCACATCAGGCTTCAAGCTCCCAGGTGAGTACATTTCGTGTATCGAACAGATGGCCGGTGTTCGAAGGGCAGATGGGTCAAGCACTTTGGATATTGCCACTCGTGGGAGCGAAGAAAACCAATGGTGCTTGCCAGCGGTTCTTACCAGATGCAAGTCGAAAGCGATCAGCAAAGTTAACTATGAGTAAGTATCATTCAGCCAAAGTTGGATTGAAAAATCGATAAAACGCTAACAGCATAAAATAAAAGAACGATGACACACATGGGGGCATCTGGTTTGGCATAATAGTATGAACAGTTTTAATTATTATTGTTCAAAAGGGCATCAAGATAAGATAAGTAAGCTGATGGTCGGTGTGATAAGGAGGCAGGTCATAAAACAAAACATCGTCAGTGATGGATTATGGATAGGGAATCTGCTTCAAATAACTTGAAGGTAGAACACAAAGAAGTGACAAGTGAAACTGATTGGGATATGGGTAAAAAAAATTCAGAGCAAAAGTACATACACCACCAGTTCTGTCCCGGGGAAAGTCAGATCCGTACACGCTGTGAGTTTGTGGTGTACGTTGGATCTGAGCCGGAACTAACTCATCAAGAAGGGACGATAAACAAAATTCAAGCGGTCGCTTACTTCGGTGGCTTTGCTACAGAGACATGCGCTGCTAGTGTGGACGCACTTCAGTACCGCCCCGTGTCACAAATATGTGGGTTGACCCATAATGAAGGGAGAATTGTTTGGAGCGGGGGGTACTAGGCAGAGTAAATTTACGGAAGCGGGGAGACGATCCACGAACAGTCCAGAGTTGGTACGCCGGGTTGGCGTTGAGTAAGCCCGTAATGACTGTGTATCGGATTGCAACATCGCGGGCGTGAATAGAAGATGGACAGGATCCGTGGTCGTTCGCGTTTTGGTGAGGGAAGGGACGTTGTTGTCCAAAATATTTTGGGATGATACACAAGTAGAATTGTAAGGAAACTCCAGTCTAGTGAAGAAAGTGCGTAACACGAAACCTCACCAAGCGAAACATACATGCCTCACATAAAATAAACTCCAGCTATCTGATGGTCTGCTGCGACGAATTAGGGTCAAGGTGGACAGGGATATATCACGATCGAGGATGTTTGCTGCACGTCATGTTTCAGTCATCATCATCATCAAAGACAGTAACAGCAGTGTTGGCACTGATGCTTCATTGCCGTACAACCATAAGGTTTGTCTAGTTATATATA